TTAGTATGTAACTTCATTGTTATAAATACTGAGATGCAATATACCCAAAACTAATGCAGAGTATGTGGATGCTGAATATCATAAAACCCACTGAATATAATATTGGCCTATTCATTTATTATACTGATCCCAAACTCTTTTGATTACTCCGTAACTAGTTACATAATCTTCAACAAAACTTAGCATCCAGACACCCAAAATAATCTAACACACAAGCAAAAGAAAACAAACCCAGGTTCAGGTCTGCAGTTCTCTCTTCATCTGAAACGATGCAAGGCACTGAGGTGTTCTGTCACAACGCTGATAGTCAGGGATACAGTCTCCGTTCCTGCAAGTCCACTCACTAGGACTGCAGCCTATCAATTAAAGACAAATGTATTTATCTAAATTTAGTCTGCCTTCCCTTCTAGCATATGATGAAGGAAATTTAAAATAGGTATAAAATTTCATACTTCCAAGTGTAATAAGTACATCTCTAATAAAATGAATCTTATCCTGAATACAGAAAAATGCATTTCAGGTGATTCGGTCTAGCAAGTACTTACTCTTATTACTGGGGGCCAGCCCATTCCTAAACAGTATAGGTGCTGGGACAGTCATAACGACCATCACAGACTGCTTGGACAGGAATACGTTCCATCCTACAAGTCCATTCCTCAGAACCACAGGCTATGTGGAGGCAAACATTAAGCATGCATCAATATTTTAGAATCTACTTCAAATGTCTACAGTGTCTTGTCCTGTCACTATGTCTTATAAGCAGAAATGCTCACAGAGAATGAACTCAATGCACAAACATCGGGTATGGAAGCAAATAAGCAATCTCATTTCATGCTCCTCATACTGTATCTTCTCAATCCTGGCAGTCACCAATACTCACTCATCTTTGCTTAACGTCGCTTGTGTCTCTTCTTCACGCCTATATCTATCGTCTCTTCTCCACTAACACTCCATATCATACCTCATATATTTTTCCAAGCAAGCATTATATATGTCTGTAGTAGTGAAGCACGAAATTATGTAAGAAGAGTGCAGAAGATATGGACTATCATAACAAAAATAAACTTGAACTTCACTCTCTATCCTTGAGCATTTGACGAATTCATTCTCTCTTGACCGTCTTCGAACTGCTCTGCGCATCTTGTTTCTTCTCTGCTCTCTCTCTCTTTCATCTCTCTCTGCATCTCATCTCTCTCGTCTCAATCTATCTTACTTCTCCTTCTCTCTCTGCTCTCTCTCTCTGCTCTCTCTCTCTGCTCACTTATCTTCGTCTCTCTCTCCATCGTCGCTTTTTAAAAAAATTTTCCTTCCTTCCTCTCTCTCTCTGCTTCAGCTTTATTCTCTCTCTCTCTCTGCGTCGGGCTTTTTAATCTCTCTCTTTCTTCTCGTCTCTCGCTTTTATCTCAACTTTATCTCACTCTGTCTCTCATCTCTCCTTTATCTCACTCTCTCTCTCGACATCCTCTATCTCTTCATCTCTCTCTCCTCTTCTCTCTCTCTCTCTCGCTTTAATCTCTCTCTCTCGCTCTGCCTCGCTTTAAGTCTCTCTCTCTGCTGCTCTTTGCTTCTTATCTTCTCTCTCATCTGCTCTTCTTGGCTTTTATTTTCTTCCTCTCTCTCTCGCTTTATTGTTCTGCTTCTCCGTCTGATCTCACTATTATGCTCTCTCTTTCTCTTGCCTTTATCTGCTTCTCTTCTCGCTTTATTCGCTCTCTCTCTCTTCTCTCTCGGCTTTATCTCTCTGCTCTTCTTCCATCAGGCTTTAAGAGCCCTGCTGGCTCTCTCGTTCTCCGCTTATCTCTCTCTCCGGGTCCGCTTTAATTCTCTCTCTCTCTTGCTTTTAATTTTCTCTTTCCTCTCTGCTCTTGCTTTATTTCTCTATCTCTATCTTCGCTTATCTCTCTCTCGTCTCTATTCGCTTTTATCTCTCTCTCCTCTCTCTCTCTCTCGCTTTAATCTCTCTTCTCTTCTTACGCGCTTTATCTCTCTCTCTCTCTCGCTTTATATCTCTCTCTCTCTCTCCTGCTCAGCTTTATCTCTCTCTCTCTCTCTCGCTTTCTCTCTCTTTCCTCTCTCTCTCTCTCTCTCTCTCTCTCTCCGCTCTCTCTCTCTCTCTCTTGCTTTATCTCTCTCTCTCTCTTGCTTTATCTCTTTCTCTCTCTCCCTCGCTTTATGCATCTTTCATCTCTTACTCTCTCGTCTTCTCTCTCTCTCTCTCTCTCTCTCTCTCTCTCTCTCGCTTTATCTCTCTCTCTCGCTTTTTCTCTCTCTCTCTCTCGCTTTATCTCTCTCTCTCTCTCTCTCTCGCTTTATCTCTCTCTCTCTCTTCTTGCTTTATCTCTCCCTTTATCTCTCTCTCTCTCTTTCTCTCGCTTTATCTCTCTCTCTCTCTCCCGCTCTTCTCTCTCTCTCTCTCTCTTCTCTCGCTTTATCTCTCTCTCTCTTTCTCGCTTTATCTCTCTCTCTCTCTCTCTCTCTCTCTTTATCTCTCTCTCTCTCT